GCAAAAAAGAATATTCAAATGAATGCTAAGCTTGCTTAGATTCTGCTACAACTTCTTATAGTAAAGGAAAATGTGATGCAGCTTCATCAGGAGCCCTCCTAGGTTTAGCTTTCATCATTAACCTTTTTATTTGAAGTTTGAATATTCATTAACAAATAAATAATTACAATATTAAATTGTCTTAATAATTTCTCTACATTAATAGATATTACATTCCTTATTGGTAGAGTTTATTCTAATTCTTATTGTTGAATAGAATTAGTTATAATTATTTAATAATTTTAACGAGCAAATTTTTATTATATTAAATTTAATGTAATAGACTGTCTCACTTTTTGCTGGAATGACTAAAGTCTTTAAATCTGCTAATAATAAAAAATAGTATTAAGAGACCTGTAAATGTCAAAAAGAGAATTTCAAAGTGGAATCATAAAATAAGGAGCACTTATAAGAATTTTCAAAGAAACATAGTATTAATGAAAATTAAAAGGAAAATATCATGATTCAGAGCCAACCTATTAGAAAATGAAATAAGGATTCAATTATTTACTATTATGACATTATAAATAGTTATAATATTTTAACGGAATTACTTCTTGTTATTTTTGTTGAATAAACTAATGTTTCTATTATATATTTTATTATTTTTAGTCTTAAAGTCTGTTATATATATGATAATTTTTTGGTTAAATAGATATAATATAGAAAAAAATTATAGAATTTTTTAATATTTTTCTTATTATATTTATAATATAATTATTACAAATGCTTTTTGCATCTATTTAATTTATTTTTTCAATCACTATTTATATATAGTATATGATAATATCTAATAGAAACCCTTTATTTTAAATAAGAATACCTAATTACGAATATAAAATTTATTAACAATTAATTATATAATGTATCATAAATAAAATCTTTCAATGATATATTTATTGTAATAATATGAAATAATTAATTTAGATAACTTCTAAATATCATAATTTATTCATTAATTGATAGGTTTTGTTGACAAAAATATTTAATTATAAAAATGCAAAATTTTGTTTAAATGATGATTACCAATGTTAATTAATCAAATATATAAATTTTTTTACAAAAGAATTTTATGTCATCTAAAAAAGAATACGGAATAGAAGAGCATATATATGAAACTCTGCTTGATTTATATAAATTAGAGTGCAGTGAAGCCTTTAGATTTCCAGTTGATATACACCTATTTAAATGCCCTGATTATTATTAAATTATAACAGATCCAATGGATTTGAGTACATTGACTACTAAATATAAGGATGGTGCATACAAAACATTCAATGAAATAAAAGAATAAATTGATAAAATCATAAAAAACTGTAGAAAATTCAATACCGATCCTAATCATACAATATTAAAAACTTGCTCTAAATTTGAATAATGTTTTAATACTAGATGGAATAAATTAAATGAAATAAGAATTCAATTAGAAATACCAGATGATTATTAATTAAAAGTTGAAATGAATAAATTAGATTCTATTGAATAAAGAAAAAATAAAAAAAAAGAACCTGCATCATTAAAAGAAGATTAGGTAGGTAGAAAACCAAGATTACAAAAAAATGAAATTAAAACTTATAATAATAACTAATTCACATTCACTAAACCATAGAATGAATTTGTAGTCAATAAATTTAAAATAAAATCATCATCAATCCAAGATGATGATCAACCGTACATAGATTCAAATACAAGTATAAAAAATGAATCATAAAACTTCCAAGACAATCAATTTGAAAGTAAAATTTAGAAAAAAGAAGTCATCGAATCCCTTCCCCCTACTTCTTTTAAAGTTTCAATATCCAGAATGACATCGAATGATTTAGGATAAAACCAAGAAAAAATAAAGGAGACACCTCCAATCTAATTGAATAATTTTGAACCTCTCTAAAGATAAGATTCAACTAAATCTACACTCTCTTTCAAGATTCCAATCCCTAAATTGAATCAACCATAATAAGATACAATAAAGGATCCTCTTGATTTCCAAATACCAAATAGTGCAAAATCTAATTAAACACAATAATAATAACAACCAATTCCTAAACAAATTCAATTACCTATCTAATAAACAAATTAATCTATATCAACAGAGTCTTAAAATTAAGTACAATTATAATAATAATAATAAAAAATATAAATTCCAACTCAATAATTAACACCATAATAACCTTAATAATCTATAAATATTTAATAGTCTAATACTTAATTATAATAGTAGCCATAAATTTAATAATAACCACAACTACTAGGAACATAACAAAAATAATAATAATAATAATTGTAATAATCATAATCATAATAATTATTATAATAATCATAATTATTATAATAGCCATAATTATCATAATAATCAAATTAAGTTTAAATATAAAAATAATAATTGTAACAATAAAACATTGATGATTAAAAAGCAATACCTAAAAAAGTAGAAATTAAAAAAGAATAGAATGAATTTGGATAGTAAAATTCTGTTGCATCATTAGATTAGTAGCACCCAGAAATATTACCTAAGATAAGCATTAATTTTAATAATCAAAGTAAAAACACTTTACTAGAATCAAAAACACAGTCTTATGAAACAAAAATAACTATACCAAAATAATAACCTTAATAATTAATTAATACTTCAAGTTCGTAGCTTCCTTCCTAAAAATAATTTGAAAAATCAATTCCTATTATCAAAGGAACAACATAAAAACTAGAGATATAAAATACTCCAAATACTCCTAAAGGAAAGAGAAAAATTATCGATTCTGATGATTCATAAGACTCTAGTAAAATAGAATAAATTCCTATAATTAAAAAGCCCAGCGAGAAAAAAATTGAATATAATGAAACCCCAATTCAACATAGTATCTCAGGGCCCTCATCAGAAAAAAAGATACCAAATATAGGATCCCATACCTTCTCTTTAAATGAATAAGATAACAAAGTATAACCAAAGGAGAACTAATCATTTAAACTTGCCCCAACAACTCCGCCAGCTATTTAACCTCCTTAAAAAATTGAAGCTCCTCCATCAAAATATGTATTTAAAATTGACGTTAATGCTATTCAAAAATTAGAAAATGATCATAATTAAAAAAAAATAGAAAAGTAAATACAATATATAATATGTGTTTAGAAACAAAAAATATGCTTTAAAATTAATGTCTATATTGAAAAAACATATCATCGCAAGATAACCAAACATTGAAATACTGAATAGATGTTTAGAAGTACCTTCAAAAACTACTCTAAATATGATTCTAATGTGGTTAAAACAAGAATTTGACAAGATTCCTTTTTAAGAGTATATTACAATAGCTAAGTTTGTTGAATTAGCTTATCAAAGCATTCAAAAGTTTAAATGTGAAGAGGAACCTCAAAATGAATAGTTGCTATAGCAATATTTTAATAAAGAAAAGGAATAAGAATAGAATCGTCTAAAAAAAATTGAATAGGAGACTAAAGTATAACAAGAACCAATAATTTTAGAGAAAATTGATATAGAAATGTTATCTAAATCATTAAGAATTAGATCAAAAAGTAAATTTTATTATTATAATATCAAATAGAAAAAAAGGTTAACGATAAAGAGAAGAAAGATAGAGATACTGATAAATAAAAAGATAGCGATAAATAACAATAAAAACCTGTCTTACATTAATAATAAGAAATTTAAAGTTTTGCTTTAGAAAATCCAAAGAAAATAAAATTAGATCAATAATAATAATAAATCTAAGATATTGATGATGATTTTGAAGAGTAGACACAAGCTTAGGATTGGTGGAAAATTTTAGAAAAGAAAAAAAATGAATGTAAAGCCATAGAAGAGGAAAAAAAAGAAAAAGAAGATTAAGAATAAGAGGAAAAATTTTTTGTTAGAACATTAGATCAAGTCAAAGTAAATTATACTCTTAATTTGGGAGAAAAGAAAGGAATAGGTTTGTATCCTACAATTGTTGTAGAGAAAATGTTCTTCTTTCTTTTAAATCATTAATCAACCTATTTTAAATAAAATAAAAGTTTACTAACCAACTTCTTTAGAAAATTAAAGGAAAATTAAACAGAAAAAAAGAATGATTTTTATTAGTAATTTAGTAAGTACAATTACTATGTTGATGAAAATCACACTCAATTAATGGATTTATATAAAATTGATAATTATGCTGAAATCTTAATCAAATTAACTTTAAAAGATGATGGAGATTTTGATCCCTATTAATTAGAAAATAAGTTAATTATTAATTTAGGGATTAACAATCTTTTAGGCTATACAACTAAACATAATTTTATAAACTACTCCTCGATTAACAAATAATTTTAATTAAAATTAGCTTAATATCCATAATCAATAAGCGAAACTATATTGCTCTCAAAACTATACGAGATGAATGAAATATTTGTTGAAAGCTTAGAAACTACAAAAATGAATGAGTAAATACATTTATATTATTTAGTAATGGAGGGTGTGGGGTGTTCTTATGGAACTAAAAAAAATAAGCATTAAATTAAGAATATCAATATTCATGTCATTTATAGATTTAAGTCCCATTTACATGTATCTAAGATTTATGCTTAAGCTTAAATGATACAGTTATCCTAAATGGACAATAATTATGATATATTAAGCTATTATATATTTGATAAATTGAGTTTATGTAAATTATATCAGTTCTTAAACTAAGTAAGAAAATATTATATATGTCTAAAATTTCTATTATATAATTATCAGATACTTCTAGCCAATCTCAACTGAATTCCTAATTTATTTTAATTTTAAATAAGTTCTTCAATTTATTTCAGCCTTTTTTGAAACTATTTATTTGAATTTCTTCTATTTTATAATTGTATGGAAAGATGTGATAAAGAAATGTATGAATATATTGAAAACTATGTATGAATTATTTAGATTATTAGAACTAAAGATGAATGAGTGATAAAACGAATTAATTTGATTTTATATAATATTTTAATTCATGAAATTTTCAAGATTGATTGGCAGAATCCTCTTAGCACTTCTATTCATCAATGCTGGCTTATCTCAGTTAAATAATACCGATCCATTTGTTTAATTTGTAAATGTTAGATATCCATTCTTCTATGATTATGTCCAAAAATTGACAGGTCATTCATTAGATTGTACAGAAATTTTAGTATTATATACTTGATTTTAGAAACCAACAAACTTCATTAAACATACTCCATGTTTAATTCAAACAATAGGAGCTGCTTAAATAATTTTAGGATTAGGGGTTGTTATTGGTATGCAAGGAGCAGGATGCTTATTGGCTTTATTAAGTGTTATCATTACAGTATTTGCACATAATCCTATCATATATTTAAACAATGTGTAATTCTCCATTTTTAATTATAGGAATGCTTAAGTTGAATATCTTAACATAATTTTTAATGTAGGAATTATAGGTGCATTATTTTTGGTTGGAAAAAGAAGAAAGAATAAAGGAAGTTGTGGTGTTGGAAGTTGTTTAACTGCACCAAAGGAAGATAAAAAGGATTAGAAAAAGGAAGATAAAAAAGAGGATAAAATAAAAGAGGCACATAAACCTCCCAAAGGTAAAAAAGAAAAAAAATGAGTATTTTAAATGTACAATTTAATATTATAAATGGGTTGATGAAAAGTATTTATTGAATTCATATACCATAAATTAAATAAAGATATAAAAATTTGAAAAATGGTAACAAAACAAGTCTAAATATATAATAGGGAGTAGATGCTTACAAAAAGACTAGAGTGTAAAGGAAAGTAGGAAGAAAAGTGACTTCTACAAACCTTTATTTGAAATTATTAATAAAGGTAAAGCATTAGATTGATCGCCTAGTTATACAAATTCTTAGCAAGAAGAACAGACTCTCAATTCAATGTTACTATTTTGAGAAGACTCTAATCAACAAGAACTGCAAGGTACCCAATTAGTGTCAGCAGACTTGTAAAATAAATTAATACAGCTAAAGATAAAACTAGAACTTTAGTAGTTGTAGGCACAGTAACTGATGAGTAATCATAGAATTTATGCATTTTAGTGCTCGTCTTCTTACTGTACCAAAATTAAATGTTTGTGCTCTCAGATTCACTGAAACAGCAAGAAAGAGAATTCTCGCTGCAGGAGGTAAGACTCTAACTTTTGATTAATTGGCATAACAAAATCCTACAGGTATTTAAGGATACCTAAAATTTATAGGAACTGGTACTATTTTATTGAGAGGTCCAAAAGTGAGAGAAGCATTAAAACATTTTGGCAGAGCTGCTGGTTTACCAGGATCTCATGCTAAGCCATATGTTAGCCACACTGCAAGAAGAGGAAAAGGTGCAAGATGATTTTTTAGTACATTAGGACATTAAAAATACACATGTTATTTTATTATATTAAATCAAAAATAAATTAATTTTGATGACAGATAAAAGAATTGACAAATATATTTTTAATGTAAAAGATAGAATTGGGCAAGGATCTTATGCTGAAGTTTATCGAGGAACCAATGAAAAAACTGGAGAGAAGGTAGCTATCAAGATGTTGAGTAAATCAGTAATAAATTCGTAATTATTTCTTTCATTAATTTAGAGATGATTATTTAAGGGAAGGACTTATTCAAGAAATTAAGATTATGTAAAAATTAAAGAGTCCAAATATTGTAACTTTATTGGATGTCATGGAAACGAACAATAATTATTATATTGTTTAAGAATACTGTGATGGAGGCGATTTTGATGAGTAAATATATTAAATACATTTCAGACTTTTGAAAAAACGAAAATTACTTTCCGAAAAAGATGCAATCAAATTCTTAGTTGATGTATTGAATGGTTTCACATAACTTATAAAAAATGGTATTATTCATAGAGATCTTAAACCTGCAAACATTTTAATCGACAAATAAGTATTTATATTAAAATAACCCAGACATATAAATTGGCTGACTTTGGCTTTGCTAAATGTGTTGACAATTTTAAGAAAACTATGATGGCATCCATGGTTGGAACTCCACTTTACATGAGTCCTCAAATTTTAGATCACAAAAGATATAACTCTAAAACTGATGTTTGGAGTATAGGATTCATTTTTTATGAAGCCTTATTTGGAAAGAGTAAGAATCTTCACACTATCCAAAAGCACCTTGGACAGCCAGATCACCTGCTGAACTCTTAAAAAACATAAGAACCTAGCCTTTAAAATTTCCTACTGATAAAAATTAAGTTTCTTAAGAAACTCAAGATTTAATTATTGGATGCTTATAAGCAGATGAAAACAAGAGATTATCTTGGGAAGAAATCTATAAGCATCCTGCTGTATCCTAATACTTCACTGTATTAAAATTTAAATGATATCTAAGGATTTTATTAAAGGCAATAGTAAATTAGAAGATAGAGCTCAATATTTAATTAATGATATTAGATAAATGATATGCAAAGAGAAAATAGATATCCACAAATTGTTTGCTGATTTAGATATGTCAAAAGATAAAGCTCTGGATGTTAATGAATTGGGAAAGTTCTTGATGAAAGTTGATAAAGATATTACAAGAGAGGAGATTGAGTATATATTTAATAAATTTGATGATGATGGTAACAATCAAATCGAATTTGAGGAATTCAAAAAATGGCTTGAAGATAATTAAGTATTCTAATTAGTATCTATTAGATTATCACTAATGGGAATGCTTAACAATAATAAAGAAATGGAGGATCTCATAAAAAATTATCAATCTTACCACATTAATTAAAATCTTAAGGTTCTATTGAAGAAAGAGCTAATTATGTTATAGAGAAATTAAAATTGTCAATCTAAAAATATAAAATCAATTTATTAGATCTCTTTAAAAAAGTATCAAAAATTATAAAATTATCATAGTTTGATAAATCTGCTGATCAGAGATTGGATAAAAATGAGATGGGATTATTGCTAAAAAGAATAGAGCCTAATATAACTTAAGAAGAAATAATTGCTTGTTTTGACTTTTTTGATGAAAATGGTGATGGAGAAATTACTTTCTAAGAATTTTAAACAAGTTTAAGTGAAGAAGTAGGAAAAAAAAGATAAAGCATAGATAATCACTGATGAAATATCATATTATCATATATCAATAATTAAGTTCTTTTCTTAATACTATTTAAATACATGTTTAAATTTCTTAGATTTCTAAGATTTTCAATTTTTGTCTCTTTGTTAGAGAACCTAATTTCCATTATTAATCTATTTATTGTAAATACTTTTGGATTAATTCCTGTCGAAATAGCTACTATACTCGAAATATTAAGGTAATTTTTGTAATTTGGAATAAACTGTTAGTGATAATATTTTTGAATAATTTTAAGAATATACCTTATATACAAATGTAATTTAGGTTTATATTTGCATACCATTAAATAAAATATGGATCTAGCACTGATTAAAACAAAGCAATTTTATTACAAAAAAAATAAAATAAAACAAAATATGAGTCTATTAGAATTTTTATTATTGTAAACCATTTTTAAATATCTATAGTATTAAGAACAAAAATTGTGTCAATTTTAAATTGAATAAGGAATGAAATAAATAAATGCATTACTATTTTGTCAAATGTAACCAATTTGCTTCAGTATGGTCTTAACAAAATGAATCAAAATATCATATCTCATCTTAGGTGTTTTAAGTTGTGGAAGAGGTAAATAAGTAACGATGGTTTCATACATTTTGCGTGCTTTTCTAAATTTTTCTAATTTGCATGGCTTTTTCATATCGAAATCGTGTTCTCTAGTAATTATCATATGGTGATTGTTGTTAGTTTATTCTTCGTTAATAACACTAAGAGGTTTAACTACGACTATTTTTCCTTTGATTTTTAATGTGTCAGTTTCAATTTAGTAAATATGAGGAGGCAAATATGTGCTTTCTCCTATTCCACCAAAGCATAAAATATTTGTTCCATTTACACAGCTTGCATGGCTCCATCTTTTTGTTTATAAACCTTATCTCTATGCGATGCTCCAAACACTTGTTTATAGATTTAAGATGAAAATATCATTTTAATACTCTTTTTTCTCTTGTGATCTTCCTCCAAGTAAAATTAAATATTCTCCAACATTCTCCATAGTGTGATTATATCGACTATCTGGAGCTTATCCTACTGTTTAGACTTTTTCCCATCCTATTGGATGTGGCCCAAAAAACAACATTCTCATTAGAGGAAATGAACTTAGTTTAGCTGTTTATCCTCCATAGATATATATTGTTTCAATATTTCTTTTATAATCATAAGCCGTGCATTAGGCATGCTAAGCAATACCTTCTTCGAATAATATCTTTTGACCTGTCCATCTTTTTGATTCCAAAGAATATACAAGTGTGTCATTCAATAGCTTTTCTGCTGAATCAATTCCACCTGTTACAACCATTAATTTTCCAAAGAGAACTGATGCTTTGTGTTCTCTCCTTGGTTCAACAGATTCTAATGAAATAGTCCATTAATTAGTTAAAGTGTTAAAGGATGCAATTTTAGAAAAAACTTCTCTGATTTTCATTTTATGATCATAATATCCTGATCCTCCAAATAATATTAAATAATTTTTCCAAACTACCATTGAATGATTAGTAATAAATAATTAGATATCTGAACAATAATTAAACCATTCTTACCTTTCTAAAAATTATTATTAAATTTATACTTAAATCAAACCACCAGATCTCATTAGTAATTCCAGCCCCACTCATTCCTCCATAAACATACATTCTATCTCTAACTATTGCTATTTATGTTGATTCTCTTCTGCTCGGAATTGCATAAGAATATGAATTAAGTGTTTCTTCGAAAAAGGTTAAAATTGATTAATCATGTTATACTTCGTCTTCAGTAATTTTTCTTTTCGATTGATGCTACTTTTAAATCATTGGTAATTGTTGTTTCTCTGGTGTGCTGGAAATCCCTAATTATTTCTCTAAATATTTCAAGGTTAATGGTTCTCTATGTGGAACCTTACGTTGATTGCATTAATATTTTTTTTCACTTATTGTTATATCTCTGACTGTCTAAGACATTTTTGATTATTCAAGTTCCATAAAACTCTATTAGATAAACTTTTGTTATGATTTGTTTGCCTGCAATTAATGTTATGCTCCTGCTTAAATTCTTCTAATAGAATGAAAATGTTATGAAATGTCTTCTAAAGAACTACTTTCGATACTAGGGAGGACTAGCTATACTTTATGATCAGATTCATTTTTTTCCTTTCTTTTTTTTTCGTATTTATAATGGGAGTTACTTTAATATCTCAAAGCATTTTATTAAGATTCATCTTTGATACATTTAAGCAAATCCTTATACTAGTCTCTCTCTAAATTTAAATCGGCAGCATTCATTTCTGAATTAGACAAATTAAATAATATTTACTATGCCAAACTTATATGATTTATTCATACATGTAAATGATTAATTAATAATTCATACTATTTTCTACATTTAAGAAATAATACTAAAAAATATTTTAAAACTATTATTATTCTCATTTTTATATATCTTGATGATAGTAATATTAATTAAAGTATATTTTATTATATTATAAGAATAATATTGAAAAGATATCAATAATTCTTTTTTGCTTCTAAATATTATCTTTGTGCATTTTCATCCTTGATCTTTTCTGCTAATTTTGAATATAAGATGTTGTTTATATTTAGTAATGGATAATCCTTAAAAATATTTGACATTTTTTCTAGATAATATCTCAAATTCAAAGATGCGTCTGAGTATATTTTTTATTAATTCTTATAGATAAAATTGAAATACTAATGAACATCATAGCATGTTAATTACTTCGTTTCAAGCTCTTTATACATTTCTTGTTGTTATTAGGTAAAAATATTGTCGTCTTTGATCGAAAGTGATTCAATAATAGTTTAAAGATTATCGATATATCCTTATAATTTTTCTTCATCAATTTAGTTAATATCTGCTTCTTACTTTATAGTATCATCTTATATATAGATACACTACTTTTTAATTATTGTTTGACAGTCCAACAATGCTTCTTAACTGAACAATAGTAAAAAATAAAATAACTATAAGGCTTACTGTGTTTTATGATAGGGTTTTGTTTAAAAATATTATATCAATTCTTATTCCAATTTAGATGTAAAAATTTAAACACAATCTAAATATTTGAGTATTGAAGCGGATATACTTTCTAGTAAAACAGATTCTCTTTTCTTTAAATTATGTTATAATGAGATAATCATCACCTCAACTTATAATTCTTCCCAAGTAATTCTCTTCTCAGGATCATATAATAGCATTTTCTCTATTAAATAATTGAAAACTAATGAAAAATAAATAATACTTGATTTTTAAGTACAAGTGAATGGTTTTAATTATAATTTCTTTTAGTAAGATTTTAATTCTTCTAAAGAATATGCATTATAATATTGTGACTTAAAGACAAAATAATAAAGCATAACCCCTAACTAAATATTGCTTTTTAATTTACAGAATAAATATCGCATTTATTTGTGTAACCCTTTCCGGTGGGTTCAAGAACTTCTGGAGCAGAATAAATTGGAGTTCCTGCAATAGTGTTGGCTAAACCTTTTGTTTAATTCATCTTACTTACTCCAAAATCAATGATCTAATTAAAATATCAAATTTAAATACTTTTATAATTTTATTTCTACCTTCATACTTTATCAATAAATTTTCTGGTTTCAAGTCTCTATGGATTATATTAAATTTTTGTAATTCAATATAACCACAAATAATTTATCGTAAAAATTATAGAATTTCTTCATTATTTATTGTTTTCTATTTTAGAAAATATTATTGAATATTTTCATCACATTTTTCCATAATAACATAGGTTTATTTATTATCATCAATAAAATCGAAAACTTGAATAATATTTTTTAATTCTATATTTTTAAACTTTTAATAAATTTTAAGTTCTAAATTTCCCTCATAAGAATTTGTTTCAATGACTTTTGCACATAATTCAATCTATTTACTTAAGTCAAGTGTTAAATATATCACTCCTTACATACCACTTCCCAATTATCGAGTAAAGTCAATTAGATATCGATCGTTTAATAGAAGATAAGGTTATTAAAGAAATGGAATTTGAGCAAGTTCATCCCAACTAACCCTCTTTTGAGGATCAAAGACTATCATTCTCTCTATTAAATCAATGATTTATGTATCAACTTATGTGCTTGTTTAACATTTGAAATTTTGCATTTGTAAATTTTTCAAATATTATTCCAGTTCAAATTTATCTTTAAAATTATAAGGCATTTTAGTTTAAAAACATAATTGGTGTAAAATAATACCTAACTAACAATTAAGTAAATAATTACGGAAAATATATCGCAATTATCGCTGTAACCATTTTAGGGATGCAACATCATTTCAGGAGCCCAATAAGCTGGAGTTCCAGCTCTCGATTCTCTTAGTTTAGTATTAATTAATAAACTTGAGACACTGAAGTCTGATATCTAAGGAAATTATCATAGAATACTTTAATAATTGATCTACCTTTAATTTATTTAACAAGTATTGTTTATGGAGTTAAATTTCTATGAATAATTCCTAACGATCTTAAATGTTAATATCCATTGATAATTTAGGCCATTATTAATTTTATTTCTTGATTTGAAAACTCAAATGATATTTCTTATCTTTTTTTCATTAATGATTATAATGTCATTGGGATATCTTCAATCTCAATTTCACAATTGTTTATGCTTAGGATTTTTATGATGTTCAAGCAGATGTTCTATTACAATTTTTGATAAATAACCATTTCTATATCTTATCGTTCTTAGAGAATAGATATTTTTTTTCTTTCAAGATTTTCTTGCTATTGAATATAACCTGACTGATAGGCTGATGAGTAATTGATATTGCTAAACATGAATTATTGTTAAAGAAAAAATATATTATTTTAATTAATAAAAAAAATTTAAAAAGCTATGAAGTATTCTTCAAAATAATATTAATCCTCTTAATAAAATATCCACCTCAAATATACTTGATTTTTATGCTCCAGAAAATCGTTTTTCAAAATTTTTTTTTTTATACCAATACTATTTCTATTAACAATATAAAATATTTATTTAATATTTAACTTATCTCCTTTCGCTTTTTATGGACTATCATTTTAGATAAACTGTAAATGCCAAACCTTAAGTTTCTAAAGTGAATGCTGTTTTGCAAATTGCATATGGAGAGGATAAAACTTTTTTTAGAGCGTTGATCACTCAAGCCTTAATTAATTTTCATATTCTTCATCTCATGAATCAAGTTACAAAAAAAAATTTAGGACTTCTTTCGAGTATTGACTTAAATTAAAAGGGAAATCTCCTAATGTTTATTCCAGTTAAAACCTTTAATGTACATAGGTAACTCAGTGTATATGTACATTGGATTAAGATTATTCCTAATTCAACTCAAGTACTTGTCCAAGTGCAGGTTATATCCTCTACTAATAATGCATTTAGATGATACATAATATATTTGTATTTTTGAAGGACATAGTCTTTTAAAATAATGTTTAAATTTTTTTTCTTCAGATATCTTTTCGTTTAGTTAGTCAAGTATATGGAAATCAAGATTTTCTATTAATGCATACAGCATGAAATTTTTTGATTCACAACTTATATTTGGACTCAGAAAAAAGAAAAAAATCTACATATCTTTACAAACTGAAAATAATTTCTATATTCTAAGTAAATAGCATAATTCGCTAAGCTTATATTTGATAGCAACTTCTTAATACTTTAATTTTGATTTATAAATCCAATATTTTACAATTTTTTTCATCAATTAGACTCTATTTTAAGAAAATTAATTTCATTGTATAATTAATAAAATATGTTAATTTTGGATCTTAGAGAGAAATCATAGTGCATGATAAGATTTTAAAACGATATCAAGATTTTTTTGGATATTTCATCAATATTTTCATAAATTAATAAAGAAATATTTAGCAATTCTTCTAAAATCTCTTACATTCCTTATTAATACTAATTTATTTTCTTGATTTTGGACAAATAAAGGCATTTCCAAAAATTTTGTTGCCAATAGACCAAGATTAAATCAATTATGGGATGGCAAGCCGGTCCTAAAATAATTAAATATTCAATGATTTAAAAAAAAATATAAATAATTTCCCATTTTCATATAAAAAATAATATATAAAGCGCTTTATATTTCAATAATAAGTTTTGTTATTAAGAGTTACTTTTTGAATATATACTGATTAGAAGGTTAGAGATTGATTAATTTTTGCTTAAGATAATTAAAATATGCATTTATTTGATTCATTAATAAAATGAAGATTGATATAAAATTAAAAAATAAAATTAGTATCTTTCATTTTAATAACCAAACAATCAATTGAATTGTCTAGGATGTTAATTCAACTTCTAAAACCACTTTTATATTTAGGAAATGAATAAGTATAGATCTAATTTGTAAATTTATAACTTTTATAATTTCAGAAGTGTGAATTATCAGATTCAGATGAAAAATTGTGTTATTAGAATTTAAAGAACATTTGCTTTGTCAGGTGATTCAAACTATAATCGAAAGTTTCAATAATTTTCTTTCGTGTTTTTGAATCTTCTAAACCTTACTGATTTCGACAATTTATGTTGGAATTTTTGTACCAATATTCATAATTCTTTAACTTCAAAATTCATCTACCTCTATAATTGAGGTTCAATATTGCATCTGTTTAATTTTACAACTTTCATTTTTAATAAGAATTCTGTTTTCAAAATTTATATAGAGAAAGTTATAACATTATGAAATAAAATTTGAAATCTAATTTTTTCTTTGCAATTTACTCCACAATTTATTTTTAAATGAGGAGAGCTGAATCCATATTTATAAAATATTTAAATTAACCTCAAATATTTCATAATAATAATCAACACTCTACTTTTTCAAATAAGAAACTAGAGTTATTGTTTTAGTTAAATCAGATATCATCTAAAAGGTGGCCATTAAGAGAATAGATTACATCATTAAGATCTGGCCGAATAGCTTAATTGTACACCGCTTGATAATGACTACTTGTAAGAATTCTTTTTCTCTTACAGTATTTGGTACTTTAACCCACCTATTTTAATCCTTAGGTGATTAGGCAGAAAAGGTTCATCTTTTGTTCTCCAAGATTTATTGGGGTTTTAAAGAAAGCTCCTCTAATTTGTAATAATAATATCATAAAAATATGATATAATACCTACTTCTTTCAACTTCAAATTTTTTCCTTAATTTCTTCCATTAAGCCACTATAAGGCTTTATTTTCACAAGACATCCGCCCAATACAAGACTCTTTCTTAGTTAAATTACCATGGTCTGACATAACTAACTAATAATTTTATTTCTTTAGAGCTAAAGGTTTTTTTACAGGGATTTTGTAGCTCATTATGGGCTTCAAAGACAGTAAAGCTGTAGCTCGCAAGAGGTTATAGTTAGTGAGATTATTAAAAGCCATGTCTTAAACCAGAATTAATCTAAAGAGTTTTTTCATAGTTGTTAAGTGTAAGTTTGATATTTAATAGGAATTTATTTGGGTCAAGCCATGATGGGTTAATATTACAGAGAATTAGGGATATATATTTAAAGCTAGATTTTTTTTATCTCTAAACTCTTCTCTTAGGACTAAGATAAGTTTGAAGCATTTGGGAATAGCTTTTCTCAAGTTATGAATGAATTTCTTTCCTTTTTTTCTTTCATTAGGTTGCAGGGAGAGGATTAATATTGCTATAAATTATAGAGACCGACTGATTATAAGGTTGCGAATATTTAATTAGCGAACCGACGGTTGCTTTGCTTCATTGAGCTTTGCACTACTTAATGATAAAGATTTAAAGCACTTTGAAAAAAGATGGTAGAATTAATTGTCAGATTCTAATATAGATATATATCATACTTAAAAAAAATTAGTTTAAGGAAATTTGAATAACTTGCCATTTAGCAAAGTCTTGTTTTAATGAGTTTTTCAAAATCCAAGATTCTCAAAAGGACCATAAAAGATTACTCAAGGCAAATTTCATCTAGAATATCATTTAAATATTTGAAGATGTGATCGGGATATTTTCTATTGATACAACCAAATTGTAAAACACTTAAATGATAAATATTCATAATACTTTTAACAAAAAGGTAACATTTTTTTCTTATTATATTGATGGCTAGGGCTAATTTAATTTGGATTTGCTGCGATTATGGTTTGACTTATCCAAAGACATTTGTAAAAATCCGATTATTAAAATTTATTCCATTTCCCAATAAAGTTCTCTATTGAATTAGCTGAGCTATCTAATAGAATACAAAATAACCAATAATTTTCTATGTATCCTTTGAAATATGAAAAATGGTTACTAATTTTGCTTGTTTTAAAGCAAGATTAGTCTAGTTAAGTAAAGTTTTTCCTGATATTCTATAATTCTGGCATATTACAATTTTAAGTCTGTTATTAACATTACTAGAAATTTTGCATTCGCAATGATTTTCGTAATGGCTTCATTGTACTTTTACAAAAAATTTATTGATATTGTCTCGATTTAGGTGATACTGGATAATTAATAAAGTAAAATTTCTTAACATCTCTTTGAAAACTTTTTTTTATATCTATAAAGTAATACTTTTTTATGTTACCTCTTAGGTAAAATAAAAGTACCTTAATTATCATTTATCCTCATATTAATAATAATTTCAACATTCAATCTTATTCAAAGCCTCCTCTACATATCTACATATGGTAAAATAGCTAAAATATAATTGTTTTTGTCTTTTTGTTTAAGATATTAAAAATCAAGGAATAGTATATTGAAATTAATTTATTCTGATAATAATCTTTAAAAGTCTTTATTAAGTCTAACATAAAGCGGATTTATATTGCCTTGGACTTTTTGATATACGAAGAAGACACCTTGCTCAATAGCTCCTAAAATTACACTGCTTCCACATAATCTAAGGCTATCATAAATTTATACATCCCATTTATTTAACAATTTCTTAATTACTTTTTGTAATTGCCCATAAAAGCTTCATCTTTAAAATATGCTTAGTTTGACTTTAACTAAGACTCAAAAAATTTAACCAATATATAATTTTGTTTGAGACCTTAACATAAATTAAATAAACTTAGAGCAATATGAGTTGACTAAAAATTAGCCTATATTTTTTTCAGCAAAATTCATTTTTTGAATGTCGGTCTTATTGATATATTTCCCAGCTAATATATATTTTATATAAAATAATTAGGTGAGTGGTTTTATTCAAATCAATTTTTTCAATAAATCTGATAAAGAAAGAGTAAACCCTATTAACACATTAATAAAATTAATGTTATAGTTTTTGTTTCTTAATTGTTTGGCTGAAATTATACCTTTAGAAGTAAAATTGCACTCATAAAAAAAAAAAAGTTTTATCACTCCCCAGAATTCTTTTTAAATTCATACTGTTAAAAATCAAAAAAGGGAGTATTTTTCTTATTTCTTGGAATAAAATCCTGATGGCATTCCATACTTCAAATAATTATTGGTGTTGCATTACAGATATCTTATATTTAACTTTTACACATATTGCTGATTTTTTCAATCCTTAGATGAAAATTATTTTTTGCGATTGTTAAAAATTTACAGCAAATGAGTGAAAACTTTAGTTCTTTGTATTTTGTGTTATTAATAAGTTGTCACTTTTTTTTTGAGGATGGGAAAGAAGAATCTCAATGTTAAGAACTTCAGCTCAAAAGTTAAAGAGCTCGAATAAGTGCTCGCCCTTTCGCTCTCTTAAATCCTTTAAAACCATTTTATTTTATTACAGTAGGAACAATCATCCTCTTTTTTCATTTTTTTAATTAATCTTGTCATTGATTTAATCTTCTTCTTTTATTTATTTTTCAGCTCCACTAATATCATTTTTTTGATGTAAGCACTCTAAATAAAAAAAAGTTAGGTGTAAAAGTATTTTGCTTTTAAAAATTAATATAAGTTATTTAAAATTTCAAATTTGACTCTATAAATACAAAAATATTTTCTCTTCATATAATGAGAATGGATAATGTTTGAGTATGGGTCCTTTTTAGGAGATAATAAGATCAATAGTTTCAATCATCACTTTCTAGACCAAATTCACATTTGATATCAAAGATTGATTAGGGTTTATCAATCATTTTTAAATATCTTTATAACATAAAGTCACTAAAAATTTTGTAAATTCAAAGATTTAGATAAATTAAATTGAAAAGAAGCAAATTAATCTTTCAAACATCAGAGAAGTATTCGAGACAAATAAAAACATCTCAATAAACTATCAACTATGCTAGTTACTCTACATATTTTACAGATATAAGTATCTTTTATGAATGAAATTTTTTTATAATAAAATCAGGATTAGTATAAAGAGAATAATAGTATCATCTTACTCAAAAGCAATGATTGAATGTGTTGAAAAAAATATTACTTAATTTACTTCAAAAAAAAGACGATTAAAAATCCAGAATTTGAAAATATTAATTATGTTAAGAAAACTACTTGCGAATATAACAATATAAATGATTATTTTATTGAAATAATCATAATAACAGAAATGGTTTAATATGCGTGATAATCAAATTAATATTATTTCTATCATCCATATAAGGGGAAAATATGGATCAAAATAAGATAATTTAGGCATTAATTAAATTGAGTGAATCTAACTTTTTCAGTTGAAAAATTCAGGAATCAGAGATTGAATAATTTGGATGGTGTTACTAGTTTTATAAACTCAATTTTTTTCTCTCCTGACGGAAATACATTAGTTTGTGGTGGTGGTTATTAATATGGAGGTGGTAATAACTTTATCCGTCTATGGGATGTAAAGACAGGATAATAAAAAGCCAAATTAGATGGTCATAGTGGAACTGTCCACTCAGTCTGTTTCTCTCCTGATGGAAATACATTAGCTTCTGGTAGTGTAGATAACTCAATCCGTCTATGGGATGTCAAAAACAAGTATTTTTCAGATTATAGATTTAAAGAAATTTAGGTTAAAAATGCAAGATATCCTTTTTTTAACACCCCTTTGCAGTAAAAGAATATTATTTAAAATTTAGATACATCTAATATTATGGTTTACCCAGACTTCAATTTTGTATAG